TGGTTTATCATGATTATTTATATTGACATTTATGATTAGGATGGTGGTGTACGCTGGGTGTCTGGGTACACGTCACTCACTAGTTGGTTTATCATCATTATTTATATTGACATTTATTATTACCGTTTAGGACAGTACAGGTGCACTGGGTGTCTTGGGGTACACAGCATTTCTGGTTGAAGCAATACAGGAAAAAAAAGTTTAAACGATCCAATGAATAGTATAAGTAGTTTTCTCAGTCTTCTTTAAACAATTATTGGATAGCAGAAAATCTCCAGCTTTTTTTAAGCATTCAAAAAAATTTTTTTCCAAGACACAGCATATCACAGCAGTGAGTTTACATTTCATTTAGTAAATTCGATTTAACTGTTGATTAAGGTTTTTTGAAAAAGATTTACAGTTATCACAATAATGTTGTCCATTGACTCATTGCCTTTAGCTCTTTATCACACCATTTCAATGTATTTCACAATATTACATTGTTTATCATGACACCAAGGTTTAATTTTATCATATTTATATGTTTTACGGTTATCACAATAATTTGGTCCATTGATCCATTGCCTTTAGCTGACTCTTTATAATACCATTTTAATGTATTTTGCAATTACATTGTTTATCACGACACCATGATTTAAATTTATCGTATTACAGGCGATTATAGGCATTATTCACATATCTACAATTAATTATCACAAAAGAAACAAGAGAATCATTTTTGTTTGAACATTCCCTTAACAAATAAGGTGCAAAACATTGACAAAGTCAATGCCATAGGGTTGCTATTAATGTAAGCAGATAACAGGCAGATTCAGGGGTAAGGTTTGACATGTCAATAATCTTCTTCCCACTATAGAAGTAGATATTGTTGGGTACAATCTTCAGTAAAATAAATAAATAATTCACTTATATTTAATTGTCTAGTCGTTCTAGTGCATTCCCACTAATTGGGGACACTTTTCCCTCACACGCACTACCACTTCATTTAATATTATATGCACACAACGCTCAACTCACATGTTTATTTTTACGGAGGGAGGAAACCGGAGAACCCGAAGAAAACCCTTGTAGTATAGGAGAGAACAACGTCACACCCGCTAAAAAGAGCTATTGAGATTTGACCAAAACAAACAATAGTTTTCAATGTCGACTTGTTCTATTGTTTTGCTTATATTGTTTCTTTTTCTATTGTATTCATCCAATTGGGTTACATCTTCTTAGAGCTGCGACCTTGCCCACAATCATAGTTTTCTATACTTTTTTCTAAACTGCTCTAGACTAACAATCTATCACAAAATAATTTGTTTCAATGTTTTATTATACTCTGTATTAATTTACACTACATTTTTACAACTGTCCTAGACACATTTACACAATGCATATAAAAATGTTTTTTAAAACCTAAAAAACCATTAACATAAAAAAGGATCCTCTATCTAAATACCTTGGTTAAAAAGATTGGCTCCACCTTATTTTCGCAGCTCACTTCTCAATCCCATTTTTCTAATGTTGCCCTAAGGACCTCTTAATCGCATACATTGATTTGCTGGTCAATGTGAAGTTAGCTTTCAAAAATTGTTCCAACTTATACTTTGCAGGGCTAAAAATAGCGGGTAACGGACGTCAGTGTCACCACTGTGTTCAGTGTTCTGGCTTAACGTTACTGGTGCAAAAATGAAGGACAATGCAAAGACTTGACAGACAAGTTCCAATTCTGGGCAGACATTTTCCGATATCCGCCCTTTATTTCAAGCCCTGCTTTGCAGTAATTGAATGCTTTGTGTTGCACCAGCAAACCAATGTGTGGAAGAGGGAGAACAACAATTACTTCCACCCACTTCCTGAGCACTTAAGTCCAGAGGGTAAAGACAAAATGCTAACAGTCTAATAAGAAATTAGTTTTGATAATTTAAATGCTCTGAATTGAGAGGGTTATGGATGTTTTTCTATTCTAAGAATGATTAGAAAATTAACTTTTGCATATCAGGAAACATGTACTGAACTATTGAGACATGATCTTACACAAAGTAATGTTGCAAAGACAATGTATTGCTGTCGGATAATACAATTTCGTTTTTTTATATGTCACTGACTTTACCTGACTGTGCTTTGCTGTACGTTTTGCCTAAACGATTTCCTAGCGCTCTACTATCTTCTTCCTGATTTTTTTCCCTACTAGCTCGATCCTTTGTAATGGAAACCCTGGTTACTTTAAGCTGAGAACAGTATTAGTTTTATTTACTGTTGTGGTAAATTAACTAAATCATTAATTTTATTAATTAAAATTGCAAAAAATCAATTCGTAATTTCAATGCAAATGGCATAAATATGTATCATCATCTAACCATAATTTCATAATTATTATTTGACATTGAAGCTAAGTTTACAAAAATAACCAAAGCATTTTTGTAAATCAAATCAAATTCAATTTTCAAAGTTAGTTTTTTGGGGGGTGACAAAAATTAAAATCTTAGATGTCTGCTGCTTTGTTGGCTGCATAATTATGAAAAAGGGTGTAAGATTGGTTTGCACTTGATTTTGCCTCTTCTTTATAATGCCGAGGGACTGATCATAATATTATATTGCTGTGGGAAAATACCCTCAAGGGAGTGGCCCAACAAACTCTTCTTACATAAAAAGCTGAATCCAGGAGTTAAAAACAAGACCCAAGAGGTGAGTGTACTGTTACACCACCCTGGACTTATATTGGTTAGAAACAAGGAAAGCGAGAACACTGATAAGTTTAAGTTCTTACTTTGGATTGGCCCACAACTTCTTTTCATTTCCAACACTAAAATAACAAAAATATATATATATTAATTAAATGCTCAAAATCAAAATCAGAAGAAAACCAGACAAAAACTTGGCAAGATAATTGTAAGATTACTGTAGAAATGTGCTCAAGAGATACTTACTTCTGGTATGATGGAGGCTGGCCCATCTCCATCATCTCTGGGCCACTGGAAAATAAAAGGACTAATATCAATAATGGAAGATTGGTAATGCACTGTTATCTCAACTACATATATACGAAACACCACCAAAATCGACATCATTACCCATCATCACTATCATCATAACAATTATGACTACCATTGCAGTCATTATCACCATGAATATCATCATCATGACCATCATCACTACAATCACCACCACCATTGTCATCACCATCACTATCATCATAACCATCATCATAACCATCGCTACCACCATTTATCACCATCACTATCATCATAACCATCATCATAACCATCATCATAACCATCACTACCACCATTTTTATCATCATCAATATTATCACTATTATCATAAACACCATTATTAACATCACGACCACTTTTGTCATTCATCACCATCATCATCATCACCACCACTTGTGTCATCATCAACATCATCATTACCATCATGACCACTTTATTGTCATTCATCACCATCACCATCATCATCATCACCATCATCATCACCAATTTTGTCATTATCACTATCACCATCATCATTACCACTTTTGTCATCATCACCAACACCATCATGATCACTTACTACCATGATCACTTTTATCATTTATCACCATCACCATCATCACCACCAATTTTGTCATCATCACCATCACCATCATGATCATTTACCATATCATGATCAATTTTGTTATCATCACCATCACCATCATCATTATCATCACAACCACAAACATATCATGACAACCATCATATATAAAAGAATCAGTGCCATCTCTATGTCCACCACTCAACCTAACGATTAATGAAATTTGAAATTATTTAAAAAGTAAAATAAGCATATGGAACCAACTTACTTTGCATATTCATCAAACTCGCTCTCATATTTCATTCTCCTGTAGTGCTTAGCAAGCTTTACACTGAAGATGATGGAAGGTATAAAGAAAAACAGGCAGAATCCAATACCCAGCCAAAATCCATTCTGGAGAGAAAGTAAAACAATGGATTAGAATGTCTGATCAATAGGCAATCTTCAGGTAAAACATTTAGCAGCTCATGACAGCTGGAAAACATTTTTAGCTGCTTAGAATCAAGAAAATTTGCAGAACTGTTGTGTCACTTTTCCTCTTGAAAGTATGGATTTCCAGGTCACCAAATTAAAAGAATGTTCCTAATGAGCTCCTGATAACCGTTACACGATAATCAATGAGTTTATAATCAATGTCAGGCACATTTTTTTATTTTGACAGGCTTCATGACACCTCAGTTTTGCAGTGATGTCACATCGCTATTTCAAGCCAGCTGGTGTCTATGCCAGGATTAAAATACTTACGAATGGGTAAAGCATTTCGTTACAAAATAACACAACAATTGCATCAAAGATGTTCRTCAAAGGTTTACATCTGCCTAAATCGTTTTGTAGCTATAAATTAAAGACCAAAACATGGTTAATATCTTCTTGTCTTTATTAATACTGCCATCACTGACCCCATCATCATCATCACCACTATCATGATCATTATCACCACCATTGTTAAAATCACTACCATCACCATCATTATTTCATCCACTCCATCATCACACCATTACTGCCACCATCATCATCATCACCACTATTAGAATCATTATCACCAACATTATTAAAATCACTACCATCATCATTATATCATCCTCTCCTTCATCATCATCATTACCACCACTGCCACCATCATCATCATCACCACTACAGTGTTAGGATCATTATCACCAACATT